CAGAAAAAACGCTGTGCAAAACACCATGGAAAAATACCACGCAAAAACCACCATGGAAAAGATGCCACGCTAAAAAAGGTCACGCAAAACATGCCATGAAAACGAGCCATCATGCAAAGGATGCTGTGCAAAAAAACCCCAACAATGCAAAAAGGACTGTGAAAAACCCCCACTGTGCAAAAATGCTCTGCAAGAAATGCCACACCAAGACAGCCATGCAAATCACCATGAAAGAATGCCATGTAAAAAAGTTATATGAAATAATTCCGTGTAAAAAAAAATTATACGGAAACACTCAGTGAAAAAAAAAAAAAGTGCAGTGTGAAAATACCAGGGGGAAAATGCCGTGCAAAACTGATGTGAAAAAAAATTGCTATGAAAAAAAAAAAAAAAAATTGCCCTGCAAACACTCCCGATGCCAAATTCCAGGCAGGAAAAGGCTGTCAAGGAAAAAAAAAAACATCTAAAACAGAAGGCGAGGACGGGCTGCGCAGGGCGGACCCTGCAAAATGCACCGGGCAAAAATGTGCCCTTCAAAATGCCGTGCGAGAAGGGGACGCGTGAAGCGCTGCACTCACACCACCGTGCAAAGGGGACACGCGAGAAAATGCCGTGTTAAATCGTGCTGTTTGATGACGTGCTGAAAAGGCCAGGCAAGAGCTGCCCGGGAAAACGTGGGGCAAAATAAAAAAGCTCTGCCAAAAGCACCGTGCTGTTGTGAAAGACATGAGTTGGTTCTCTGCTGGGCCATCTCTGTGATGGTCCTGGTGGGGCCCTGCCAGCCCAGAACATCCCGTGAAACGCCGTGCAAAGGAAAGGCCATGCGAGACACCGCGCAAACATCGGGCTGTGCAAAAGCACGTGTAAGAAAACACCGCAAAAATCCCACGCGTGAGAGCCCCCGCGGAGTAGCCTCCGGGGAAGGGGCCGTGGGCACCCACCCCTGTGCCCAGCGAGCCCGGGCCGGCGGGCACGGGCAGGCGCCGGAACGACACCAGGGCGTTGACGTTGCGAGACACCTCGTCGGGGTTGAGGGGCTCCCGCAGCACCCCCGGCCCCGGGGGCTCCCCCTCGCCCGCCTGCTCCTCGGGGTGCGCCAGGAGGTAGCAGAGCTGGAAGCAGCGGCAGAGCAGGAGGTGCAGGGTCTGGACCTGGGGGAGGCGAAAGACACTGCGTGCAAATCTTAAAAATAATGATAATCGTGGGGGGGGTTAGGGGGATGGGGGGGTTGGGCCGCCACCTCTCCCGGGAGCCCCACGAAGAGGTGGCAGAAGAGGGCGCTGGGGGGGCTGTGGGGGTTGCGGGCCACGAAGGCGAACTGGCGGTCGGCGAGGCTGCACGTGCTGTACAGGATCCGGCGGAGAGCGTGGGCCATCAGCAGGGTCTGGGGGACCAGAGGGGGGTCAGGGGGACCCAGCACCCCTGGGGGAGTCCTCCCAGTGTCACCTCTATTTGCCCAGAAGTTTGCAACCCAACTTAGAAAAGCAAAGCAGGTTTGCAAGCGAAAAGCTCAGAGAGGTGCAGCCCCCCTGGGGCGCCTTTTCGGCAGCACCCAGAACCCAAGAACCTCCCCAGCACCCTTGACCACCTCCAGCACCTCTGACCCCCCCTTCCGGCATCCCTGAGCCCCCCAATACACCTGACCCACCCCACAGCACCCCACAGTGGCCCCTCCCCAATACACCTGACCCCCTTCCCCCCAAACACCTCTAACCTCCCTTCCCAGCACCTCAGCACCCCTGACCCCCTATCCAGCACCTCTAACCCCCATTCCCAGCAACTCTGACCCCCATCCCCAGTACCCATGACACCCCCCAGCACCCCTGAACCCCCTCCCCAGCACCCACGACCCCCTCATCACCCCTGACCCTCCCTACCATCACTGACCCCCCCTGCACCCCTGAACCCCCCCCAGCCCCTACCTCCCCGTCAGCGCCGTAGACCTTCAAACCCTGCAAACTGAACCTCAGCACCACCAACCTCCTCCTGGGACAGTCCTGTCCGGGGGACATGTGGCACTGGGGGGGCCGGGCTGTGGCACCCGGGGGGGCCCCCCCATGATTCGGGGTCCCCCCATTTCCCAGCGAGGGGGAGCAGTGGTAGATGCCCCACCTTCAGTGCCCGCAGCTGCTCCTCCAGCCGCCCCCCCTGCTGCAGGTCCAGCTCCTCCACCACGAAGGAACCCACGTACTGGGGGGGCAAAACCCACCCGTGTCAGCAACACCCCCTGATGCTGCAATTGCTGCCCCCCAAGGCAACCAGCCCACCCTGAGACGATGTTTTGGGGGATCACGGGGATGTAGCTGCACCCAAACCCCATCTTGGGGTTTGTTCCCCCCCCCATGGGTAAGTCACCTCTGCTGGCTTGGTGACACCCCGGGCTCGCTGTTGGGGGGCCGCAGGGTCCGGCCCCCGCCCGTTGGACGGCTTCTTCTTCATGGCAGTGGGGTTTTGGGGGTGAAGGCTGGATCAGGATGGGGTTAAGCAGCTCCGGTGCCACATGTGAATTATCCGGAGCCCCCTGGGGGCGGTGGTGCTGGAGCAGTCGGTGGGAGCCTGGATGTGGTCCCTGGTCACCGTCCCTGCGAGGAGGGAGGGGACAGACACAACCTGCCCCCACTGTCCCTGTTTCCAGTCCCTGCAGGGAGTTCCCCAAGTCCTGACGCCAATGCAGATGTCCCCAGGTCCTCCCCGTCACAAGGGTTCTTCCATACCGGCCCAAACAAAAGGGTCCCGAAGTCCTGACCACAATCCCAACGTGAGGATCCTGCATCCCAGACCCAACACAAGGGTCCCCGTGTCCCAGCCCCCTGTGGCCTGTCCCTCTGTGACCCCAGGTGCCATGCAGGGCTCCCCACAGCCTGACCCCGACCCCAGGACAAAGGTCCCCGTGTTCCAACCCTGACACCACAGTCCCAGTGTCCTGATCCCAAGTGCAATGTGAATGTCCCCCTGTCCTGCCCCTGAGTTCCATGCGAGGGTCCCATAGCAGGATGCAGGCAGTCCCTGCGTCCTGACCCCGAGGGCAATGTGAGGAGCCCCAGATTCCAACCCCAAATGTGATGGATGCAGTCCCCATATCCCTCCCCCAAAAGAACCCCAAGAGATCCCTGCATCCCGAGCACGCAGTCCGGACCAAGGGAGTTGCACGTGCAGCCCCACATCCCAAACTGCAGCAAGATTTTTTTAAGGTTCCCACCCCATCCTGCCCCTCTCCCAGCGCTCCATCCCCTGTCCCCGCTGTCCCTGCATTCCGAGACCCCCGTGGCTGTCCTTCAGGGGTGATCCCCAAAACACCAGCGATGGGGGCAGCAGGTTTAGGGGTGCTTTTTCGGCCAGAGCACCCACCAAGGGATGCGCCCGGCCTCTCTCCGGACACCCCAAGGGGGTTTGTGCTTCGCAGCCCTCGGCCGGGCTGAGACCGGCGCAACTCGTGTCACGGAGCCGCAGCCGCCTGGGTGCAAACACATGGGAAAGGGGAGTCCGGCTGCACCAGGCGCACCTAATGAGGTGTGGGGGGGTCCCTCCGGTGCCGCCACCCGCGTTACAAGCTCAGGTTTGCCCCTCTCATTCCAGCGCAATTTGGGGGGTCTCCCCCCTCCCCCAGCCAATCCGCGGACAGGCAGCCCCCAAGCCCCGCCCCGCTTTTCCCACGCTTCATTCCTCAATGGAGCCCCCGGCCCACCGGCCACCCTGGGGGGCCCCAAGGGAGGGATGCTGACCCCAAAATTTGGGGGGCGCGTGAGCGTGTGCGTGACAGCGGACACCGAGCATCCCCAGGGACCCCCATCCCGCCGGGCCCCCATCCCGGCTCACGGGCAGCTCTCGCTTGGATGGCTCCGGAGAAACGCAGGTGAAAAATTCCCGGTGCTGCGGGTCCCGGCCTCCGCTGGTTGTTTTCCCTTTGCCGGTGGCTCCTCCGGCAGCTCCCGCCGTGGCGCAGGGATGCTCGACCCGTTGGCGTCAGGCCCCCGCCACCAGCCAGGCCCCGGCGAGCCCGAGCCCACGGAGCCCACGCCGGGCACGGGGCAGGCAGCGAACTCCCATTTCCTGCCTCCGATCTGCCCGCGATGAATCACCGCAATTTTCCTCCCCGGTTCCCTCCGTTTCTTGGAAGCGACGGCGAGCAGGAACGCTCGCTCCGGCTTTTTGGAAAACGCGGCTGCGGCTGATTTTCTCTCTCCCTTTCCCCCCTCTCCTCCAGCGCGCCCGGCGGAGCAGCGATTTCTAACCCTGACACGCACACACGTGGTCGCTCGCTCGCTCGCCACCCCCTGCCCTGATGCTCAGACCCTTTTCACCCCAATTTCTACATTCCTTGGGGAGTTTTGCCCACTGCTCCCTGCTTTTGCCAGAAAAAAATAAAGAGGGATGGCTCCGACCTCACTGCAAAGCACCCACGTAACCCAGAGCCTCCCCAACCCCCCCTGGCCAGCTGAGGTGAAGCTGCTTCCAGCCCCAGGGATGCACTTGGCTCCTGGAATGGGAAAGCAGCAGTCTGGGGAGGTGATGGGGTCTAACGCCCTGGGATGCATCCAAAAATCCCTGTCTCGTGCCCCAGTGATCCCAAGGGTGCAAGGAAAAGCGTCCAACCAGTGGCATTCAAACCTTGGGTCACAGCCAGCACCAGCTGCTTCAAGACACCGTGAGATGTGCTGGCAGAGCCACCGGAACAATCGATAGCATAGAAACGGGGGAAAAATGGAAAAAACAGGACAGATGGGGCTGAAGAAATAACATAACGGAGCCCAGTCTGGCCAGGAAGCGGAGACTGGAGAAGAGCGAGCGGCGGAGGCAGCACGAACCTCCCTGGATGTGCTTGCTGTGTTGGTAATGAAGGTTTTCCAACTCAATCCCAGTCACTGCTCCTGGGAAGCAGGGATCAACCCTTTGGATTAAATACAACCAGCTCTGTGGCTTTCAGCTTTGGCTCAGTGTGCAGAAATCACCTAATTCAAACCACAGCCAAAGAATCTGGTGATGATCAAGGGAGCCAATGGCTGGTTTTGGCTCCACTCAAAGTTTGAGGTGCACTTGCTCAGGTGTGAGAAATAGGTGTCATCCAGAACAGTGGTTTTTTAAAAAAAAATCTGTGGCATTGTTGGTGTTGGAATGTTACTGGGAAGAGGGAGGTGGCAAAATGCCCAGTGGTTGAGTGAGGACTCCTCGTCCCCATAAATATCCTACCACTGAGAGAAGTTTCTCAGATTTGACTCACGGCAACGCCAACAAACCCCTGCTTTCAGCACAAGTAGCCCCAGGAACCAGCCATTAACTAATGTCTCTAATTGCTTTACATCCCTCTGGATTATTCTTTGATTGGAGCTTTCACTCTCTCTTTCCCATCAGCTGTGACTTTTAGCCTGCTGTTTGCACCCTCCTTACAGGGCTGGGAACAATTTGGGCTATTTCTATACGAATTTTTTTAACTCTCCGTTGTTAGAGGCAGCACACTGGGACAGCAACTGAAAAGAATAAATTCAATAAGGCTATTTTCTCCCTTTCTGTGTGTGCAATTCCCCTCCTCACAGCACGGTACGTGCACAGCTCTTTGCAAAAGCACGTTGGAGACTGTCAGATCCCATTGGAATTGCTGCCCTGGGCACGGCAGAGCCGGGGACGTGGAAAGATGTGCTTTGAAGGTGCTGCTGTGTTGAGCAGGGCAGGGGGAGGAGGTTTCAGCTGGGCTTTTTTTGTCCCCACTGATCCCACAGGGGGAAGAGGAGCAGCAAGAGGTTCCAACAGAGCTTCCTTCTTGCTCACCTTTGTCTCCAGAAAAACCAGGGAAGAGAAAGGTCAGGAGCTGGTCCAACTACAGAGCTTGGCAGGGACTCAGGCTAAATCACGCTGGCACTGTGCTTTTAACAAAGATCTGCATCTGCAGCAATCTGAGGTGACTGTATTCCCTCCTCTCTGCCTTTCCAGGAGGAGAAGCTGTGGCGAGGAGAGAAAGGACACAGGAAGCAGGCCTGGAATCTAGTTTCATTTTATTTTAGCAAACCGCATGTTCTTCACTTATCAACATCTCTACATTAGCAATTGTATAGCTCTCCAACTTCTCTTTAAAAAAGGGTAAACAAGAGGGGACAAACTCAGGCTTTTTCATCTCTTAAAAACATCTGAAAGTTGGATTCAAGAAGACTTTGATATATTTTGGTTTCAAGGTAACAGATGTGGTGTGGAAACACTAATTCAAATCACCCGCCTGATCGAGAACTGCCCCTTTTGGAGCCCCTCTGGCACCAGACCCTCAGGAGAGGCCGAAGATGCGACTCACCCTCGTCACACAGCCCTGGCTGGTCGGGAGGAGCTGGATGTGCCACCCCCTCAGCCCGTGGCTCTGAGGAAAGCAGCGCCTCGGGGCTCAGTGCAAGTGCTGTATGTACACGGCTCCCCCACGGAAGCGCCAAGGCCCTCGGCATGCAGGGATCTAGGGAGGACTCTTCTGCCGCGGCACCTTCTCATTAAGGAATCACATTCCCCCAGTCATCCTGTTCCTGCTGTCTAAAGATATAAAGATCTTCTTTGAAGAATTGTTTTAAGAGCCAACCCTCCCCCCGGAACCCACGCGGAACACCGTAAATGTACAGATTAGAGACGTCCTAGAAAAGTCCTAAAATTATTGCAGAAACTAAAGATGACTCGTTCCAGGGGAGGGGCAGGCACGAGGCACAGCATCGAGATCTACCGAACGCTCGGGGCGGTTTGATTTAGTTTTCAGCTTTTCCCCCATCATTCAAGAAAACAAAAATAAAAAAAAAAATAAAGAAGTGTTTAAGCATCAGAACTAAAATACAAATGCACGTTGACTTATAAAACAAGATTGTGGGTTTGACCATGGGGTTCCCTGACACTGGAAACATTTTACTTTTTTGCCCGGAGAGATTTCCTCATGGTGGATTTGCCCTTAGCAGAGGGTTTCACTTCCTTCCTCCCACTGGCTGCTGGTTTCTTGGAAGAGCTGCCACCAGAGGGTTTCTTGATGGCTGGGGCTGCTGGTTTGGCTTTCTTAGCAGGGGTTTTAACCTTGGGAGGGGGCTTTGCTTTCCCCCGGCGGGCTGCGGGGGTTTTCCTTGGCTTGGGTTTGGACTCTCTTCGCTTCATCGGAGGGGCCCTGCTCCGGGATTTGGGAGGTGGCCTCTTCTGCATCCTGTCAGGAAGAGAGACAGCACAGGAGCTCAGTGGAGGTGTGAGGGTACCAGGAGCAGAGCTGCTGCCAGCAATTTGCATGAATGAGGCAGATCTTGGTACCCCTGTTCTTTGCCACGGCTGCTCCTCCCGCAGCAGCACATTCCATGAGCTACATCCCAAACAACAAGAGCTCCTCCGGTAGCTCTCACCACACTGAGCTCTTCCCATCCCCACTGAGCTCTGCCAGCCAGGCTTCCAGCCCCTTCCTTAGGCAAATAAACAAATAAATAATGACAGTGAATCAGTGAGCTGTCAGAACAATTAAGAGCCCTAAGCACTCCCTCTCCTCTCTAAATGGAATTTCATTACTTAATGAACAACACTCATCTTAAATCCACATTCTGAGTGAGGGCAGGTCTCATCTGGCTACAGAGCTGCAAATAATACTGTAGGGAAGAGTTTTCCTAAGGAAACACTTAGTAAATACAAAAAGTCCCGTGTAAAACATCACACTTTATAAAGCAGGAGACTAAAGGCAATATGAAGAATAAACACAGGCTCTCTCTCATCTGGAGGAAGAAAGAGGAAAGCTTCAAATTATGGAATGGGGGAGATCAGTATCTCTGGAGCAAGGAATAATTAGAAACTTCTTCCAACACCTGTGAGTAACAGCCCTGTGGATAAATGACCACACAAGAGTCACCTGAGCACTCTACAGCTCTGACAGACACTTGTATTTCATCCAAAGGAGCCCACTCATCCCTCATGCTGCCATACCTCTTCTTTGGTGGGGGCTCTTCCTCCTCAGACTCTTCCTCTTCAGATTCTTCTTCCTCCTCAGATTCCTCCTCTTCTTCCTCATCAGATTCCTCGGAGTCCTCATCCTGCTGCTTCTCTGGGTAGAGCACATCTGGGCTACAAGAGGGATCTGGTCAGAGTGTGATTTGTTTCTAAGGATACGACTCCAGGGTTGGCAGGCCTGGCTCTCATCTGACCCAGCAGACTCCCCCTAAGGTTACAGCTTTGAGCCTAATCCAGAAATGCCCCCAGAATTCTGTGATTGCTGCTATCCCAAACCAACATTCCTTAGTCTCTGCAATGGCAGAAGCACAACAGCTCAGGAATGCCCCAGGCTTAAGCTGCCTCTTCTCTGGCTCCCTCTCTCATTTCTCCTTTGCTGCAAACCCAGGGGGACAGACAACAAAGGGGCAGGATCAGACTTCAGGGACTGAACGTGGGCTGAAGCTGTGAGGTCTCTGTGTGTGCAATAAAGGAAAGTGGGGAGCAGAGACTTTATTGACTATGCTGCCATTTGGCTCTTCCTGGGACACCAAGTGCCCATCCCGGTGCTCCACAGGGCCCAGCACAATATCAGCTCCCAGCAGGAGCAGAAAGGCTGGTTTAGGCTCACAGCAGCTATTCTAGGTCGTGCTCCCTCCTCCCATTCCTCTCCCTTCAGGAAGGCTAACAGCTGGGTCCTGCTCCTCAGGAGCAGCCTTGCACTGAGAACCCACCACAGTCCCTGCTCGGGTGAGTCTGTTTTAGCACCAGAACACTTCAATAGCCCCAGCCTGCAACAAAAGCATCAGGGCAGGCTACCTGAGAATACTGAGCCCAGCATTTTTACTGCCCTTAAAAGCTTCCCTTGCTAATGAAATCAGCTTTATGCTCACCCACAGTCACACACCCAAGCAATGTCATTATCCAGAGTAAGGGTGACAATTTGGCAGTTCATCAGTTACTAAACCCCCCACAACCTCCCTGTAAATAGAAGGTTGGCTCAGGAACCTCAGCTCTGCCACCTGACCCGTGCAACACTTCTCTTGAACATCATTTTACAGCCAAGCTCTTTACCTGGGATAATAAGGGAAGCAAAGCTGAAAGGTTCCACTGAAGCCCTTGCCAGAAATTTGCTCCATCCAGCCATTCTTCTCACATTTCTGCAGGGTTCTCTTCAGTAGATGCACTGTGAAAGAGAAAAGAAATCAGAGAAAGGCTGTTACTATCTTTGTCCTCTTGTCTGACTTCACTGCTCTCTGCAGTGCCCTCTGAAAGCAGAGCTGGAGTCAGGATGGGAAATCCTCTCACAGTCAATTTTCAAGTAAGATACAAGTGTTTGTTCTTGAGCACGTGGCAAGTGTAGCTCTACATTCTCGAGGGAAGAAGTCAAGAATGGTGCATGTTTCTGATGTCATGATCAAGAGATGCTCCTTCAAATGCATTCAGCAGCACCATGTAACTACTTCTGTCCAAATTTAACCCAGGTCTCAGCTTTCTTCACCCTGTCCTCCAAAGAGTTTTTTTAAAACAAGCCTTTTTCCCTGTTTTTCCCTCCTCATGTTCTGAATGTCATGTGTGCTGCATCCTTCCCTGTTCTGTGGTTTGCTTTTTGTTTTGTTTTTTAAGGGGTAAAATATTTGGTCTAGAAATACAACAAATGCACTTTTTATTCCAGTCTGTCATTCCAGACCTTTATTTCAGCCATTCCATTGTGCATTGTGTAAGAATTGTAACTCAAACAGTAAGTACAGGGGATCTTTGTCTGTGGCAAAGGGCTGAGGTTGTTTAGTCAGTCCAGAACCATTTCCAGCTTGAATTAGAGGGGCCATTTATATATTGAGCTCCCTCCAAACCCAGGGAAAAGCGAGGTCTGCCCTCAAGCACGTTCCAAAGAGGTTCATGGTTATAACCACAAGGCTGGTTTTACTCTGGGTACCAAAGATCAACAGCAGCATGTAAAGGATTTGACTCCAGTCAAGTCCAGTTATAAGACGAGGTATAAACTGGGGAGGAGAGCTGAGCTCTGGCTCTGCTTTCTCATCTCATCAGATCTTCCTCCAGTTGCTCTCAGAACAAAGCAGAGATCATCAAAATTCCTTTTACGTAACGGGAAGGAGAAAGAAAACAACAGATTGCAGCTGAGATTTCTTTATCTGCCTTGCAGGAGTGACAAGCAGTGGAGGCTGGCTCAGTGCAGCCCTCTAAGGACCAGGGACATTTCCAATGGTCCTGAAAATAAACCATTCCAGGAAGGTTTATTCCACTTAGGAAGCCTGGAAGCTCTTTTCCCTGCCCCAAGATTAAGAAGTCACAGTTGACATCAGTCTCTAAATGACAGAAGGCCTCAGGCAACTTCTTTAGCCCTGGAACGTGTGCTGTGTATCAGCAAGCCCTGCACCAAGCAGCTGTGCTGATGCTGTGCTTCAGCTCCAAGTGCAGAGGGCAGGATCAGCAATCTCCTCTCCAGCCCCTTGTCCTGAGCACTGGCACCAGCTCTGTGACACCACAGGAACAAACTCATCTACCTTCAGGTTTGACTCGAGGAGAGACTGCTGGGAGCTCAGCCTGCTTCAACTGACCTCCAACTGCATCGGGGCTCAGCCCAAATCACCCAAATAAGCCATTCCAAGATCTGCTTTAAAGGCTCTGATAGCACTGCTTCTGCTAAAGCAAAAGTCAAACCAGACATTAGTATTGCTCCTGGGAACAAAGACATGCCAAACCTCCTCCCAAATACAACAGGATTAATTTCTCTCCTCATCTGCTTGACCTTTTAAAAATCAAAGCCAAACAAGGACCTCAAACAAATCAGTAAGAGGAGTGCTCAGGAATTTTTTTAGAAGTCAGACTATGCAACTTCTCTAAGCAATTAGGAACTGCATTGATACCAAGCTGTTGCCTTTCAAAACAGAGAGAGACAGATGAAATCCACTTGGTGATTTAAGAACAATAAAGTACTTGAATACTATTCCCCCTTCCTGGCTACAGACAAGAGAATCATGCATTCTGTCTCAGAAACTGGCCTTTGTCCGGCTTGAAAGGGACTGATGGGAATTAAAACCACTGAGCATCTCTGCAGCACAAAGAGCTGAGCAGCTGCAGCTCCCTGCAAGCTTGATGGAATAGTTTAAAGGTGCTGCACAGGCACATCTGCAGCTGCAGGACTCTCCCTCTCAGCACATCCAAGTGTTACATGGATGGGTACTTTACCCTGGAAGTTGGAGTTGGTCCCTGGGTAATTTTCCAGGATATACTTCTTCAGCGCTGTGGTGGAGCAGGTCTTCGGTTCGTTCATGGCCACAATAGCAGACAGGATGGCGTCTTCCATCAGAGTCCCACCCAGCAGGGGCTTCTCCCCTGATTTCTTCAGCTATTTTCCAAGGAGGAAGAGAAAAGCATCAAGACAAAATTCTCCCAAACCAGGTCAGGACAACTCCTCTGCACCAGGTGGGTCGGCGCTCCTGCATTAGCACAGATACGTTTAATATTAAAACACTGCACAGGGAACGCTGCTCTCCCAGCTTTAAGTGGGAGGCCAGGCCTAGTCAGTCAGCTGGCCTGGGGGGCTTATCAGCAACACCTCATCCCAGTCCCCAAACACACTGCAAGTCTAAGGGCCTAGCGCTCAGGGGAGGGAATAAAGCAAAACAAATCACATCATCCTCCATCCCACGGACCAAATGTACCCAAGGACTTCTGTGGCACAGACGTAAAAGACACAGCAGGCATCTGGGGTACCTGCTGCACTTCCAGTGAGGGATGGAAAGGAAGGCTTACCCCCCCAGCTCCCTACTGTGCTGGTGAGTCAGAGCTGAGGCAGCATGTACAGCACGCTCAGCAAGGAAACGGGGGGTCTGCTCCTGAAATGGAGACCAAGAGGAGACCAAGAGTCCTACTGCTTCAGAGTTGGACAAGTCCTGAACGTGCCAGGCTGCTGGAGAAAGGGGTACCCAGTGATGGGGGGACAGGGCGCAGTCACTGACATCCAAGGCTTGTGGTCAACAGAAGAGGAACTCAGTCTCTGACCTGGAATGTCCCAGACGCTCCTTTCCCTGTGATCTGCTCTAACTGGCCCTTCTCTACAGCTCTCTGCAGGGCATTCTTCAACAGCTGGGGCCTGAAACGCAGGAGGAGAAAGCTTTACTGACACACACTGACAGCTTCAAAAACAAACAGAGAAACAACAGTTTGCAGAGTGTGAGCAGAGCAGCGCTTCCCGTGCTGTCTGCCCACATCCAGACACGTTAAATGGAGACCTGTCAGCGGGCTCATGACATGGAACACGGCAGCGCTCGGGAGCTGAGCTGCGGCGCCTGCTCGGTGCCACAGCCAGGAACAGGCACCTGCCCTGGGCAGGATTCCCTCCCTTGGAACAGCACACCTGGATGTGCTGGGCAGTCAGTCTGCTCACGGGTAACCAAGGGGCTGACACAAGCCCCTGTTAGAGGGGACACAGGGGGTTCTCTTAGTTTTGCTTCCCAAGCCTCAACTCGCTCCCTACAGGCAAACTGCGAGATTACTGGACACGTGTGCCAGCTGAAGCATCCAGAACCAAGTGGGATGAGATCCTGAGCAGAGGCCTCCACATCCCTACAGCTAAGGGGATGTGGTTTTGGCCAAGGTGTGCAGAGCAGCACTGCTGTCAGTGCCAGGAACAAAGACTGGGCGTGGAGGGATGCAGAAAAAGGCACTGCTTTTCCTCAAGCTTTCCACAGGCTCTGCAGCTCAGAGCAGCACCTGGCTGCTTAAATACAGGACTGAATCACCACGAAGGGAGGCAGAGCCAGAGGAAGGCTGAGTTTCCCTGCTCCTCTGCTTGCTAAAGGACTCCAGCACCTACCTTACATCTACTTTGAGTTTGGGGTAATACTGAGACACGTATTTCTTGATCAGGCTGTAAGAAGCTTCCTTGGGCTCACACAGGCGGGTGAAGGCCAGGGGCAGGACGTCCTCCAGCTTCACCTGCTGCTCTGCAGTCGGGGCGGAGGTGCTTTTCTGAAACACACACACTTTAGCACATCAGTGAGGCCCAAAACTCTGCATTTCTGCACCAGCAATGCACAGGTGGGGAGAAGAGCTCCTGACCATGGCCACAGAGCTGGAAAACCAGGTGCTGTAAGGCAGCTCTCTAAATTAACAACTTTAAAACTTTAAGTAAAATGGAGCAAATTTGGCTGAATTTTCATAGGAGTCTTAGGAAAACTTTACAAATACAAATTGCTGAGTATTTCACATATTTTTAACTATTTCCTTCCTCTTTCTATAGAAATTTTTCCTCTGCTACCCTTCAGTGAGACAGGAGAAAAATCATAGAATCACAGAATCATTAAGCTTGGAAAAGACCTTTAAAATCATTGAGTCCAACTGTTCCCCCCGCACTGCCAGGGCCACCAACTAAACATGTCCCCAAGGGCCACATCCACACATTTCTCGAACACTTCCAGGGATGGTGATTCCACCACTGCCCTGGGCAGCCTGTTCCAGTGCTTTACAACCCTTTCTGACATGAAAATTAAAATCAAAGGCAGGACCCATTTACACAGATCAAATCTTCCCCAAAATGAGCAGCCAAACACGAGTCCATTTTTTTTGAGATAACACAATAAGAGCTTGATTGAAGCCAACGCTCCCTTTTAAGTTTTCCTCCATCCCTTTTGTTACAATGAGAGAGGATGATCAGGAAAAAAAGGTCTACTCTTTATAGAGAAAATGTGCTGAAGTTCGGTGATTTGATGCTGAACAGCAGCTCTGCAAACAGTTCAGTGAGTGAGGGAGCTGCTCCCCAGCCAGCTGAATTCACCAAAAACATTTGTTTTGCTGCCACACAGAGAAAGGAACTACAAAGACACCAATAAGCTGCACAGAGAAGTGATGTGTCAGCAGGTATCAGGTGCCTTGCTCACACTTCTCACGGGGCCAGTGGCCTCTTTTTAAAGAGCTACAACGCAATTACCTTCCTTCAGTGCCCTACACCAAGTGTGTGACCACTTCCCTCAGTTTTAGGGCTCTTGGTCTCCCTGGGAGGTAAGAGAGGAGCACCAAGGCGTTACCTGTCTAAGTTCACCTGTCTAAGCCCCCTGGGGATTGGCAATTCCAGCTAAGGATTTTGTAACTGCAGCGTTAGGAGTGTGTTTCACACACCCAGCAGAGCACAGAGTGGAGAACAGCAGTGCTGGAACCATGACTAACTGTGAAGCTCCAAAACCAGCCCCATCACATTTGACTGCCTCAGAACAACACCCAACATCAGCAAGTTTCTTCCAGCAGCTTTAGGATTTTTTCTTCTTCCTCCCTCTGCCCTCACAGCTCATGGAAAAACGTTCACCTGGCAGTCCTGAAGACTGGAGTACTCCCTTTATCCACACAACAGATAGAACAGACACAGCAGTAGCATAAAGCTCTCTTACAATACCTGAGAGGCATCTCTCTCTACCAGGTAAAGACAGAGGAGGAGCTTCATGGTTATTCAGTTTTCTGCCTCTGAACCAAAGCCTAGGGGTTTAATGTAAACATTTTAAAACTAAGAATTTGATTATTCAACTTGGTTTTCAGTTCTCATAGTAGCTTTCTGATTCTGAGTGAATGGGAAGGGTGTTTTAAGTACTGTGCTTGGGGAGGAAAAGCACAGCAAGGAGGAGAACGCTCTTTGTGTAGGGGTTAGGTACATTTCATAAGGTACATGTGTTTCAGTGCAAGATTTTTCAGAGTATGGTTTAAAATGGTCCATCTTACCTTTCTGTCTCTGGCTTTTGGAACAGTTTTTCCTGCATTAGACACCACCACAAAGCTTCCAGAAGCTCCCTTTCCTTTCACCTAGTTCAAAAGAAAGTCCATTTCAGGGTAACTCAGAACAATAACAACTTGAGAGAGACTCACTGATATCATGACACAGATTTCAAATGTACTGTCACCCTGGCGATGGCAGAGGCCTGATTTGAACCCACTGAAACTTCAGTAAGATCAGAAGCTGCAGCCAGACATTAACACAGACTCTGCTGTCCTGAGCAGGAGATCCTGGCAGATAACACAGGCATAAATTACAGTGTTAGAAACCCACGCTGCTGCAGAAATGCCACTGCTGGACTCACGTGCTGCTGCAATGCTGTGACACAACCCCCAGAAACGGTCAGGAATTGCACAAAAACCAACTGTGCAAAGTAGCTGAGTGACAAAACAGTGCTGAAGCTCTGTCAGGGTCTACTAAAGTGGAGACAGAGGCTCATTAAGCTCCATGAGGGAGAACACGGTCAACCCAGAGACCTGCTAGTCGAGTTAAGAAACCCCTGTGTAAGTCATGGGATCATGGACTGGTTTGGTTGGAAGGGACCTTAAAGCTCATCCCATCCCACCCCCTGCCCTGGTCAGGGACACCTTCTACTAGTGCAAGTTGCTCCAAGTCCCATCCAACCTGGCCTTGGACACTTCCAGTCTCCCTTCAGTGTTGCCACCTCCAGTGCTGCTCCACAAAGCAGCTCTTACCTGCCTAATGATCCCCCTCTCCAGCTCCCTTTTCAGTGCTTGCTTCAGGAGGTACCCTCTCCTCTCCAGCTCCAGGGAAGGGTATTTGTGGATGATGTATTTCCTTATTGCAACGACCGAGGCACCACTCTTCTGAAAGCAGGCCTGAAACAGAAAAAAAACATAGGTAGAAACCACCTGCACTGGAATAGTCCTGAGTGGGGCTGGAAGAACAGAGTCTGGACTGATGCACAAGGTGCCAGGGCTGGCCTCTTCCCCACAGTGACTCAAGAGCTTAAAAGGACTAATAAAATACTTAACTTTTGCCTTCAGAGTAGCTGAAGAGCAGACAACACAAAAGCAGCACAGCAAGCACATATCAACCACTCCCCTGCTCTGAAGCACTGACATGGAATGGCTTAAAACAGAAAATACAGGCACCTTCTGGCAAACCAACAATGCATAACGGGTAAATCATTTAATTAAAACCAGACAGAGGAATCACTAAGTCAGAACAAGCTGTCAATTAATTTTTTTAAGAAGATGGAGAATTGACATAATAAATGAGTAAAAAATGCTAAGAAGTTCATTCTGAAGATGATATAGCTGGAAAGGCCATCTTGCAATTAAGGCTGGTGGAGCCCAGGCCTCCTGTGAAGGCAGAACCAAGCCTTGAGGGGAGAGCTGCAGCACAGGAGGGATACAGTAAAGCAACAAACACCACTTTGGAATGCAGGTTTGCAGTATCTCCTGTCCTGAATCAGACTAAGTTAATGATAAAGAAAGAACACGTATCAAATAGATGTCTTAATCAAGATAAAGGAAGTCAAATGCATCTAGAAGGCACAGCAAGCAACTGATGACAGCAATCCACCAGGTTATGCCATCCTGGCTGTTTCTCATAATGTAATTAGGGAGGGAAATGAATTCTAAACCAAGAAATCAGCTACAGGGCCCTTCATCATCCTCATGGACTCACATTTCAGCGCCATGGGCTGCCAGGCAGAAGCACACACACCTTACACACCAGCTTTCCTGCTGACAGACGGCACCACCACCTGTACCTCAGCAAGCTGAAATGGTGCATTTTAGGCACACACACTGTTCTGCTTTGCAACAGATGAACCAAAGACACACTTGTCTCCTGCTCACCCTGATGGCCTCGGTTAAAATGGCATCCATTTTGGGCCGGGAGGTGGCTGCCATCTGGGTCTGCTTCTGTGCCCGGGCAAGCTGGCTGGCAGAGAGCGTGGCCCACGCAGGGATGGTCTTCTTCACCTTCTTCTCCTTCTCCTTGGACTGATCCTTCTCGCTTGGGAAGCGCACAGAGCAACAGTAAGACAAGGGGCACTAAAACAAAGCCAACAAGCAGAAGAACAAAACAAAAACCCCCACAGCCCAGAACATCTGACATTGTTTAAATTAAAATAACTTATAGAATATTTTGAGGTTTCTATGAGTAAAAGAGGGCCTGTCTCAATATTCAGCCTCACATGTGTTCTGGAACAGCAGCTACATATGATCAGTAGCTTCTTCCTGACAAATATGAGCTCCTTAAGGGACTCCTCCCATTTCCCCCATCTCTCCCACCACCCTTTCTCTCTCTAAACCCTGACTTCCTTCAGAATCCCACCCAATTCCCTGAATTCAGCATCAAGCAAGCCTTACTCCTTTTTGGTTTCTTCTGAGGACTTTGTTTCCCCCTTCCCTTCATTCTCAGGTTCCTTTGGCTGTTCTGCTTCATTGGATGCAGCAGGCAGGGTTTCAGTCTCTTGTTCCTCTCCAACAGAGGCAGATTCCTCAGAGGTGACTTCTGCATCTAAAAGATGTGAAAAAGCATCAAGTTACTGCCCAAAACTAGCTTCTATTCTTCAGGAATGTAAAGGGGAAAAAAAAAAGGCTTAAAACACACCCCCAAAATTATTTCCCACTGATTTCTTTTCTCTAATTTAAATAGATGATTTAAATGTAACTTAAAAAGTGAAGAAAACTACTGAAAAAAGCTTCAATAAAGTGCAATCAAACCCTACATGCCAGAAAAACTGCAAACAACATCATGTAGCATTTTCACAATGAACCAATTCCCCCAGTGTTCTCTTCTAACTCCAGGAGCTGCTGTTGCAGTTGTCCCTCAGCAGAGAGGCCTGGGAGGGGAAGGAAACCACTGCCATGAAACACTGAGATTCTACCACTAGTTTGAGCACTAAATGTTTTTAAGTCAGGAAGGTGAAAAATATACATCTCTACAGGAAATGTAGACAGACACACACAGGTACAGGCACAGGTCCAGAGAAGCTGTGGCTGCTCCATCCCTGGAAGTGTCCAAGGCCAGGTTGGACAGGGCTTGGAGCAACCTGGGCTAGTGGAAGGTGTCCCTGCCCATGGCAGGGGGTGGGATGGGATGGGCTTTAAGGTCCCTGCCAACCTAAACCAGTCTGGGATCCAATGAAGTAGCTTTGTTTATGACCAAGTTGTTTTCAAACCCCGAAGCGCTTGAAGGGTATTTACCATCCCATCACATTTTTCCAGGCTTGGAATGCTGTGGATTGCACATGCCCTGGCAGGAACACTTGTGTATCAGAAGAATCAAATCCAGTCAGAAATCAATTTAGCAAATATATATTTAGCTGAGAACAGGCCTTAGAGGCTGGGCTGCCTACTAGATAAGACGAATATAAACCAAAATTCCACACGTTTTGGATAAAGAGCTGCCCACCATCACTGCTCTGTGCAGCTTAAGAATTCCTGGTACATTCCTGTGCACAGTTTTCCCACGGGGGCATTTAAAATGCACAGTGAATTAAGAGAAGGTTTCGTATGTAATTCAGTTAATTGTGACACCAAAGAGGACAAAGTCAGTGAAACCAACTGTAATAGTGAAATGACACATTCTGAGACACTGAGGTGAAGCTGCTCAGCCCAGACACGTTAATATCAGACTGGATTTTATGACACATTGTGGTAAAATGTTTTTGTTCAGAAAAACAAAGAAAAAAATTAAATGCTTTGTTTTTCTATTCATTAACTCTACCTTTTGATCTCAAGCCATCATGCTGACACTACTGAAACTTCACAGTTTCTTTACTCTAAAAGATGTGCAAGCTTAAAAGGGACTATATTTAGCCCGATTTTCATGTCTGGAGTGTCAGGACTTTGCCAAGGGGCATGAAAGACAAAACAAACGGGTCCAGGCTGAAAACAGTGTCTGCAAAACACAACTTCCCAATAATCCTGGAAAAGTCTGTGACAAGGAGCCAAGCATTGGCGATATTTTAATCTTGGCAGTAGGGTTTTTCAGGAGTTTCAGAACACAAGCCTGTGTTTGGATGTACTTTAACAACCCGCTATTGACCTGTTCCATACCTGCTTTGACCTCTTCCCCCTCGGCAGGTTTGCTCTTGGGAGGAGTTTCCCGGGAAGTGGAATTCACGGAGCGGCGGATTGGCATCGTGTCGTCTTCAACTTTCTACAAAAAGCACATGAAAATCACTACAGATGCTGGGAAGAATCAGAAAGGTTTGAAATGGGATTAAAGCGAATCAAAGCAGCATAGGTAGAAATGTTCTGGTTTGGATTTTTCAGGATGTTAAAGCACAGTAACCCTCAAACCAGCTTCTTCAAAGCGTACTAGGAGAGGATAGATTCGTATTTTACGGTTATAAAAGAAGTAATTTCAATTCCAAATTAAATGAGAGATGAGGATTTTGAGAGATACATCGTCTCAGGAAAGCAGGGGAGGGGACGCAGAGTTTGTTAGACTCCCAGTCGAGTTTCCTGGAAGCAGGGGAGAAAGAGTACTGAGTAACCTTCAGCAGGACTGGAAGTCAAGGACTGATCCAAGGGCAAGCTTGGAGAAAGGGCCAGCCCCTACCTCACTTAACTTGTCCGTGTGGATCAGCTGAGCTCCCGTTAAGAGTGGAAGCGCCTTATGATGCACGGGTTCAGCTTCAGACAGATCAGTCGCCATTTAAATTAATTTCTAGCCCCAACACTGTGGAGCCCCAGGTTTTAACCCCAAGGAACTTTTTCCTAATGGTTTTCACAGTGCAGTGAGGAGTCAACCTAAAGTACAGAAAAGATGTGGTGTGAAAATTAACAAAACAAAAACATCTACGTCCACGTATCTATCAAACTAAAGATTAAAAAGAAAAGGGTAAATGGTTTACAGCTCGTGACTAACACAACTGACAAGCAACACTTGCATTCAACAGAGGGGCTAAAACGTGGATGGGAACTGCAGAGCTAGGGATGGAGCAGAACTGGGGAAGGTGCAAGCCAGACCTGCTCCATTAAAACATGGCTGAAAATTAAAAAGGCTCTTTAAATTCAGGGCAAGCGTTAGCAAAAAGCAGCCATTGCACCGTGGCCCTCAGTGACGTTGGGTGAGAGCAGGAGCTGAACACAGAGCAAGCAATTAAACCATTCAGTCTGTTGGGCAGGAAACACAAACACTGGGGACCCAAACCATGCCCCCACCCCAAATTAAACCCCATGCATTTAAAGAAAAGAAGGAGTCTTTCGATAAAAAAGATAACAAACAAACCAGCATTTTCCATGCTTTCCACCAAAAAAGGTAAGCTTTCCAAAACTCTGCTCCAAGCACACACACTGCCATGGATGCCAAACAGGTTAAGCTTAGTTTAACCCTCACCAAGGCTCACTCCTAACTACTGTTACACTTTTACAGCCTTTCTTACCTGTTGCCCACCTGCCTGCACTGGCCCCTCCTATGGAGAGGGGCTCCACTGACTCCATCACAGAACAGGGCTCATCACAAGACAGGTTCGTTCAGTTCCTCTCAGCACCCCTTTCAAAAACCCCAGAAGCAAAGCCTCACCTCCAGCAAACCGGGGCTGGACCCATCCCAGTTCCAGCCTCCAGCCTGTGTGCTTCCCTTCCTTACAGAGCAATAGCCAAATGCTCCCATTTCCCCCTCTTCTAGGTGGGTTTTTGCTCAGAAGGCAGGCACTTCCCACACATTTTCCCTTTTAATAAGTATTTTCCCCAACCTGAGCGTTTTCCTCTTGAACAGAGACCCACCATCACTGCCAGCCCTGTTTTCAAGATGACTTTCAGCACTTTTTCAGCACTTAGCACTGCTCTCCCCATTGCCCTGTACCACACCAACACCAATTCTTGCCCAAAACAGAGTCCTCTCATTTTCCAGCACTGGGGATTCCTAATCAGAAGCACTTCTGACAGGAGCTGAACAGTCACTCTGAAAAACCATGGACTTGTCTCAGCACCAGGGAAAGCAAAGCCCAGCAGCACCGGATGTTTTCTTCTGAGACAAAACAGAAAGAATCAAAACACACCACATGCCAAAACCCAAAAAAAAAAAAAAAAAGAGAGATGAATGAAGCTTTCCTGTGAAATGTCAGGATGGGAAAAAATACTAATGGTCAATTAGAACATATGAACTACAGCCCAGCACCTTTTTGGCCTGTTTTAAGGAATAATCCTTCCTTAAGTGTGGAAAGTGGGAGGAAAAATGAAATTTTTCACCAGGCTTCAGCTCGATATCCAATGTTTTTTCAGGTACGCAGAGCCTGAAGTCCTTTAAAAAAATGACAACATTTTGAAACGACTCCTAAAACAAACAACTCCAAATCCCTCCTTAGGGAAATCAGTTGGGGGATACAAAAGGCACATTCCCTGGGATGACACACACACAAGCCACACTGTGGCTGACCTGGTCCTGGGTTTTCTTTATTTTTAAACTGTGTGACCTGCATGGCACATGCATGAAAACACAGTACTCTCAACTTTGACTTAAAATTGCCTGAGTTCTAAAAATCTCTTTGTTTAGATCAGTGTACAAACCATTTGAGCCTTTTTGCTCTGAAGAATAAAACTTAACACAGCACAACTCCTCCCTTCTGTGCCTACAACGCAGGCAAATAAGGCAGAATCCAGCAGAAATCGTTGATTCCCTCTGCATGGATCATCTCCTGCTCAAAAGGGAATCAAGGGGGCAGGAGGATAATCTCCTCCTGGCTTCAAAGCACTGAGAGTCTCCAGGGGCAAAGTCACAAGCCCCACCTTGTGAGAGCATCTCACTGCACCTGCTCAGCCCCTTTCTTTCCACACAGGGATCAAAAGTCGTTTTTCTGCACTGGGTGTGAAATATCAATCACAAACAGGCCTGAATTTAGTCCCTCAAAAAGATGAAGCAAAAAACCAGGTGGCTTTGCAACAGCAATGTAGGAAAACTGATTCCCCCCTACAAATAAAATAGATTCATTTAACAGAAAAATCAAGTCGCACAAAACATTACCTGAACACTCCATTTCAAAAGACAGCTCTAAACAGGAACCACAGTTACAATCACAAGCATCATGAACACTTAAATCTGGTCTACTCAGAAAAATAAAATCACATCAGCAATGAAACAACCAGCAGGACTCACACTAGCCCAGAAAGTTACTCCTCACACAGCTACTCACACCCATTTTCCTAAAGGTCCTTTGAACTGCAGGTTCACAGGTTCCCAAACTAAGATGAACTAGTCATTCCAAAGCTGGTAATCCAGCAGGGAGCTGATAAGCAACAAAAATACCCAAATTTCTGGTTTTCTGGAATGTGTCCAGTCTCCCAGCTCGGGGAACGTCCACTAATGGAAGATCCAAAGGTACAGAGAGCTTTCCAGGAACTGTTACAAAAAACTATAGCAATTCTCTCCTGAGTTATCAGCACATTGTCAGAGCAAAAAGAGAGGCTTCAAATGAGACACATTTTGGACAATATTTCAGAAGTGTGGAGTCCCCCCCCTAATGTAACAGACACAAGAACATTAAAAAAAAATTAATTTGGGGCATAGTTTGGCTGAGTCCTTGAATTTCTGCTGGCCATGAGACTTTTCAACTTACCTCAGCCTTCAGTCTCCCTTCAAGGGAAAAGGTTTTGGGATAAATTAGGTTTGGAACATGGCAATCCAAGTGTGAGGCTGCTGGAAACACCAAGTCACAGGGACTCGGGGTAGGGTGAGCAGGCTGAAAGCAAATATGCAATGGAAAAATGAGGAAGCACGTCCAGCCCTGAGCTGGGGGGTGTCCCCTTACTGTCACATGACACGAATGGGTGACTGATGCACTTAGATGGGACTGGTATAAAGTACATGATCCCTGTCTAGAAATGGGGTCAAAAAGGGGTAAAAACAGTTTTTATGCACTTGCAGGGTGTCAAGGGATACAAAACCAACAACCTTAGAAGCAGTGCAAGCAAGAACAACTGGTTATCGTCAGAAAGGTTTAAAAAGCGAAGTAAAACTGGATTTAAAAAACAGGCTATTGATTACTGTGCAATTGTTTACTACTCTATAAAGCTGAAGAGCATTTAAACGTCTCAGAAACTACTAAAAAAAGCACAGGAAATGTTAATACTTTTGTAAATCCAAATCAAACAAGCCAAAAACCATCACTTTCTAAACTGCAAGCTGGCCAACTCTTTCAAGGCTTTTGGCCCCCTGAAATCCTCCAAGCTCGTCCCCAAAAACCCAGCCCTGGTGGCAGATACTTTCCCACAGCCCTCAGTATCTCATGGTCACAGTGTACATCCAGGAACACCTTGGATACAAACGTGTTTCACAAAATGTATCTGTCAGGAGTTAGCTGATGCTGTCACCGGCTGCTTCCCTGAGCTGTTCCAGCACTCATTGCTCTGCCTTTGGCTTTTCCAGCTTACTGAGCTGGACTTGGTTAAGTCAGGCCAGGAGTATTTAGTCATTTAAACCAGCCTAAAATTGTGCAAGGGAATAAAATACGCTACTGGATACAAAACACAAGTTAGTCCCCATTTCTGATCCTTGCTTGGCAACCTGCTCGGAAACTCCCTCCCGTGTGGCCGAGCACAGCTGGCATTCCCAGCTCTTCTGCTGCCATTCACCGAGTTTTATCCCGATCCTTAGGGCCACTGATCTCCCGGGATGTGTCCCAGCTGCCCAGACTTTGCAGCTGACTCAGCTCCAAGGGCTGTGTTTGCAGCTCTCCTGCGGTGGAGGCTCCCAGGGATCTGCTCCAGGCTACCTGAGCTGCTGCAAAAAGCAGCTTTTTCCAATTAAATGGGAATAGTGGTCCAGGACACGGATCCAAGAGCTCCGAGGCAACACATTCCTTGGGCTGACTGTGGTACAGTGTCCATTTCCATCCACTCCTTCCCTATATGGGGTAATGGGGGGAACAACAAACCCCACGTACACCAGGGTTCAGGAGAGCAGAGAAAATCCCTCATGCTTCCAGTGTCCAAACACGGGAATTCCTACACTCAGAGACCCAAAGAAGAGTTTTTCTAAGCATAAAGATCTATTTCCATTTGACAATACTTTCATTCTGGGTTGAATCTGGGTGTCATGGGTTTACTAGCCCCCCTGGGGGCCCATGACACTGGGCCTCTGGCTCCAAATGCTGTGAATGCAACCGGACTCACACCTTACCTGTCCTGATTTTTACAGAGTACAGCAAAAACTGAACCCTGCCCTTCTGTGCACACAGATGCTGTTTTCACTGGGAAAAAAAAAAAAAAAAAAAAAAAAAAAAAAAAAAAAAAAAAAAAAAAAAAAAAAAAAAGGAAAAAAAAGGCACAGAGTGAGACTGATGCTCCCACTCAGGGCTGAGCTCAGCACCTCGTCCCTGAGAGGGACACCACCCACCCCAAGCCAGCTCAATCTGCAAAGAAGTTTATTAAAACAGAAGTAAATTCCTGCCTCCCCTCCACTCTTCACCCCAGCTCAGTATAAAACCACTCCAGGTTACAGATTCTCTCCCATCACTCTGTGACCTACACAGAAGGCACTAACAGCAGATCGTCTCCGTGGCCTGGATTATCTTCCGTTCCTATATCCAAGAGTTTCTCCTCATGTCCCCACACACAGAGTCACAGCCAGTGTGAACCCCAAATTACACCACCATCACACCCAGAAACTCTCCCAAAAACTTCAGCCAAGGCATTAATGAAGCAGAATTTCTGCTTGCACGGCTGTCTTAAAATAGTCTCTGCACTGATGCTCAGGGTTGTGACAGTGACAATCTCTGTGGGACAAGAGTTTTAAACAGTTTTTGGCTAAAATGATCCTTGATCCAGATTCTCCACAGGCTGCCACCGCCACAAGCAGCTGAGGGATGAAATCACCCCCATTGGAGTGCACAGGGTTCAGCTTCAGGTTTAAAACAAGTTTAGGTCACAAACTTTAAACTACTCCAACGTGAAAATCTCCTGCTGAAAGTTGCATAGCCTTGGATAAAATACCTTCATTCAGGATGCAGCTTTATGAATTTTGACAAACTGCTGACAATCGAATGCAAATTTAGGCTGCAAATGTTACATCTGAACCTTTTACAGGCCATCTCCTCCTTGTCTAGATAGATTAAACCTAAAACCACTGTATAAACCCTCCTCCCAAACTGTTACTCAGCCACCACTTATTATCCTACAGACAAAACTATACATGATAAAAGCCATTATTTCCTCGCAGTCTGTATAAATCTACCCACACCTTACATTAGAGTCCATCAATGTAAAACTTTTATTTCCTCTCAAAGAAGTTAAAATCCTCAGAGGACCTCAGGTCACTTGTAACAAAGCACTGCCAAAAGATTTACACATCACTCTCTGCTGAAAAGGAAAATACAAGAGGAAAAAACATTCTGGACAAAAATAATTTAATGAGCTTCTACGTGAGGAATGTGAATGATGCATTGAGGAGATAATTTAGCATACAGCTAAAGGGGAAAAAGCTGCAAAAGCCACTTTCTTCAAAGCATTTACTCCTCAAAAGAAATTATGTGTATTTCCTACCCCCATTCATTCCTGATTTCCAAGGATCTCCCCCTCTATCCACCAGTTTCTTTGAGTCCCACCTGAGGAAGGTCAGTGCTCTCCTGCCTGGTCCATCAACCACCTCAGTTCTTGAACTGAACTCATCTCCCTCTCCTCTCACTCCCCTTGGGGAGGAGTGACAATTTTTATAAACACGAGCACTTCCAATCCTTTTCCTCCTCAATGGGACCTGCCTGCCAAAGTCAGCTGGCCAACTCTTTCTTGAAGATGCTAAAAATACTATTTATGGTCAAAACAAACAAAAGTCATGTGTTGGGAAAAAGAGTGCAACTCTTACTCAATAGTTAGGTAAGAACTGGGAAGTGACACACTTGTTAACCCAGAGATAATTCGGTAACGCTCCTGAAAAGTGAGAAATACTTGAGTATCTGTGAAATACCACAGATAGAAACAAACTACCCAAACTATCAGTCTCTGCTACACTGTATACAGGAGTGACACACCCACAACCCCACATCAGCCAGCTTGTCCTCTCCTCCAGCACGGGCTGAGTGGTTTGCAGACACTGGTGAATGGGAAAATAGTTAAAATACAGGTGAGAAGGATTTGTTCAGAGCAGTGTCACTGTCCCAGGTGAAGCAGGTAAGCCGGTGGGGCTACACCAGCCGAGATTTCGGTAGCTGCTCCTTCTCTTCTTAAACCTTTGTGATGTTTTAGGCCAAAATAATCACAGCAGAGTGTCGATAGGGATAATGATTGGGAATGGGAGCCTGTCTGGAACAGCCCCGTTCCCGAGTGGACTTTAACAGCCTTCTCTATGCAGAGCCTGTGCACTAAGGGGAGGAGGGTCATTAACATTCTTTACCCAGGCTGTGGCCACCTGGGCTCAGGGAGGCTCTCGGCAGTGCCTGGGAGCCTCACACAGGTCTGTAGCCTCACACCCTGTAACGGCCGAGGGGTATCAGGGACCTCTTTTTGGGAAGCGCAGCCAGCCAGAGGTTTCCCTCGAGCGGCGGCACTTCTCGGAAGTGACTTTGTGCAGGAAAAACACCCAAACACTCGCACAGCCAAAGCGGTCGGGAGGCGGGAAGGCCAAGGCGCTGCCTAAGTTTATAAATAGCGATTATTTGTTGTGTCGCGGCCCTGTCGGCCCCTTCCGCCGCTGACCTTCCCGAGGGCCCGCGCGGTGCCGGCGGAGGGGCAGCGGCGGCTCTGAGGCCGCTCGGGCCCCGCAGCTCCTTTGTGAGGCCCCGCCAGGCCCTGCGACACCCGGGGCCGCCCCTCGGGCCTGCGCCGGGCCGAGCCCCCCCGCGGCACCGCGCCCCGCCCGCGCTGCGTGTCGCGACACCCCGTCACGACACCCCCGCTGCCTCAGGCCTGTCAGGGCGCGGGGGAGGGGGGCTGAGGGCAGTTCCGGGGCCCCTCCGGCGGCGCCGCCAGGCCGCCCCCGCGCCTCGCGCGCACCACCCGCGGCCTCCCGGTGGCGGCCCCGCTGTCGCGGCCGGCGCGGGGCCGGGGGCGGGCGGGGCCGGGACTCACCGGGCCCGGCGGACACAAAGCGGCGGCG